ACTGAGCGCCTGCCGGTCCGGAGCCCCGGCCTTTGCCCAGTATCAGCTCCTCTCTAGATTCCCATCTGGCATTGTTGTTCTTTTTTTTCTTTACACAAACTGCTTGTAATTATCATTATACCCCTTTGAGCAGGGATTTACATGAATTCTTTCATATCTCGCAAAAAACCTGGAAAAAATATTAAGCACTTTCTCCTCCCATTTTCACCGGTAAGAATACCCTCGCCACACTCGGAATTCATATTTGAAATTATTTTCCTCGAAGCTAAAGCGTAAATCTCGGCTTAACTGTTGAAATCTCTTTCAAAAGAGGGGTTGTCAAGGAGATGCGCATTCCGCCAACCGTCCCAAGTTGTCGAACGCGCACTCATGCAGATGTCCTGAGGTGACATTACAGCACTGTGAACCTCTGAATAAAGTACAGCGGCATTAGTTTCACAGAGGCAAAAAAAAATCACTGCTGATGTTACAGAGTGGCCAGTTGATGTCTTTGGGGGCAATCAATTGGCCACTCTGTAACATCAAACAATCAAAAAACCAAAAATGGATTTTGACAGTCCAAGTGACAATCTTGACCTGACAAGTTGCATCCCTGAAGCGAGGCCGTGCACCAGATGTTTGTGAGCGGTGGGAGGGTGTTTGCAGGGCTGATTTCTGGCGATCCAGGCGCACGCTTTTATTACAGCGAGGGCTTGGGGGAAGAGAAGGCCAAGTTTTGGCTCTTCTGTTCAGAGCCGTGAGGAGGGTTTGGGGCTGGAGCCCGACGATTTGGGGACGGTCTCAAACCCCTCCCGTAACCCTTGGGTGGCTGCAGCTGTCATCTCGGGGTTTTTTTTTTTGGATTAAGTTCAGCGGCGAAAGAAGCTTGCCTCATTTTCTGGTTGTCATTTGCCCGGGAAGTAAAAGCAAATTGTAATGAGGGACTCACAGCAGGAGAACCTCCTAACAAATGAAAGGCAGATATTGACTGACAGCCCGCCTGCCACTCCACTGATAAATGTATTTTTACACGCGGCGGTTCAAGGGCACTTTCTGCTCCCGTTGAATGCCGCCGGTCAGGTCACGCACGGCACATTTGAATACTGAGCAATTGTCAGGGTTGATGCAAAGCTGTATTACCGTACGGTTAAAAATTGTTATATAGAGTCTATGTCAAAAAGTAATATCTGCGCTTTGACTTGATATTATTGAGAAGCCACTTGAAGGACAGGAAGAAAATTAAGTTAAACGTGCAAATATACCCTTTTTCTCAGTGCAGTCCTGTAATTTTTACTGCGGTTGTTAGTATTACTGGGACTAACGTAGAAATTAAATTATTAAAGATATTGCAACTGTTGTAAGCTTATAGTATTCTAGATATTTCCATTCCATTGCTTACAAAGTAGGGATTTCTTTTTTTTTAAAGTGTTCGTAAAAACCTCTGAAGGGCCGTCTTGAAAGAGTTTACTTTTGGTATGAAAAACGGGATCATATTTTAGATACCTTTTCAGGCAAAGCCGTTGAGTTTTGTATAACAAGTGCGTTTACCCTCTTTATTTTTTTGAACTCAAAGATCAGCATGCTGTACGTTAGTCGAGACTTTTAAGCACAGGACTTCCGAGTTCTGGCGAGCGACGGGCAGGAGGGTCGCGGCACAGGGGCACTTCCCACCCTCTGTTGAAAATCCCTCCTACCCCCTTGCGTTGGCGGCACCCGTCTTAAGTGCAAATATTCAGAAATAAGCAAATTTGTGACCTGGAAGTGTGATAGGAAGAACCATGTAGCCAGAGAAGGCGGAGGCACGGGAGCCCGGGAGGGAGCGCTGCTGCAAACGAAGGTAAGGTTCACAAACTCTAAAGGGAAAAAAAATAAAGGAAAATGGGTCCCGGGTGCAGCACGTGGCAGCCGGGCGAAGGTGCTGCTCGTCCCCCTGCGACGGCAGCGAGAGCGGCGGAGCCGGCCCCGCCGGGCTTGGCTTCAGCTTTGTCACAAGTATTTATTCTTAGAAATATTTCGAAGTGAACCTTTATAAATTTTCACTTCTCAGGTCTGCCATTTTTATCGTTATCTCAAAGGCCGGTATTTACTCCTCTGCAGTTTGGGCTCTATATCATGTTCTGCAGGGGTTTGCTCCCTCCTTTAGCATGGAAAGCCAAGCTCTAATTTTAAATTTAAAAAAAAAAAAAAGGAAACTTTTGTTTCTGGTACGTGGAATCACTCAGTGCATGCCACTGCAGGGGGACCTCGGCAAAGTATAAGCATGTCGGTAAAGCACTGCTAAGCGGGTTTTTATTTCTGGTTATGTTATTTATTAGACGATACTAAGGGAAAAAAAAAAAGCTGGAAGAATGACTGATCTGTCCGACCTCGCTCTGTTTATTAAGGTCTATTCTAAACTCGCGCTACTTTCATTTGGTTGGGAGGGGGGACTAGAGGGAGCGGGGCGTGTTTTCAGTAGTGCCACCGACACCCGTGGTTTTCAGCCTCACGTTTGCAGTTGCTAGCCGCCGGTTGTTAGGCTTTGCCTTTAGCGTCACGCCTTGTACATTTGTGTAAATACATTTATTTTCGTGCCCTGTGCCGTGCTGCAGTTACACCCCGCAGCGCCTCTGGGCGGTCGCCTGCGGCGGATCGCCCCGCCTTGGCCGCTGGAGTGGCCACGAAGGATTTAGAGAACCGCCTCCCCAATTTTCCCGTCGCCCTGCCTTGCCCAGAGATGCCTTGTGCCCCGTGCAAAAGCGGGAGCGGGTGTTTCCCCCAGGCGCAGCGTTGGCTCCCTTTACGTGCTAAACCTCTTCTGTGTACGGCTCTCACGGGGCGGTGCTGGAAGGGGGCGCGTTAGGCTCAGAAAGGGAATTTTTTGTTTCCCCTTAGCTAAGGCACCCCTAGAGATTGAGGAGATAAATATCAAATAATAAAGGTGATAAAATACGAGTGCGTCTCCAAAGGAGCACATAAGTCACTTTATCAATTTAAAGTGCGCTTCTCGGTATATTTATGAAAATAAAATTGCTGCGGCGATGCAGGGTTTATTTTTTTATGTCACCTTTAACAGAATATCGCGGTTCAATGCCGAGTTTACCAAATATTGGACTTAGAATTAGGTTGTCATCGCTTCGGTATATCACGTGTTGCGGGACGACGAGGGTGGCAGGTGCAGGAGTCAAATAGTCTCCCAGGAGCATCTTCCCATTAAAACCCGGTCGCGCGGGCAGGGGGGAAGCTGCAAACAGCTGCACGTCGTCCCACCGCCTCCGCCGCTCGCAATTAAGACTCTTCCCATACCCCCCTCGCGCTGATTTTTTGCACAGTTTTCCTTGTGTGCTCCTCCAGCTGCTCCGGAGCTGAAAAAAAAAAAAAAAACAAAAAAAGAAAAACAACGACGAGTAGTAACTTGGGAGCAACGCGTGTTTGGCGTCGGTGCTGCGACCCGTCGGTGCCGCAGCCGGACGGTGCTGGCCGGGGGCTCCGCGCCGAATCCCTGGGTGCCGAACCCGTGAGCAGCAGCAGTTTGGTTTTGCTGCCATTGCTCCTTGGCCTCGATTGCTCCTTGGCCTCGGATAAACAGGACAGGAGCGTGGCGAAGCACTCGGTAGCGCACCAAAAAAAAAACGAATCTTGGCTTGAAAGGATTAGCGTCAATTAGAGAAGCACTTCCTTTAAATAACAAAGCAGATTAAGTCCCTTAAGGGTTGTGCTGATTGGAACACATTTTCAGTCGTCAAAAGAGCAACAAGTGTGCTGCTACTATTGATTTCCTACCTTTGTATTACCAAAACATATTTTATTGACAAGTATTCCTTGCTTGTTAAGTGCTAAAGAGTTGGATGGGTCTAAACATTGGATCATCTAATTAATTGCCCTTTCAAACTTTCATCCTAAGCTGCGGTGATTACATTAAAGAGATAGGGTTGAGGTTCTGTTGGGAGTTCACTCGCCTTTTAGATGATAAACAAAAGATGAATAGATTAATGGGTTCTTAATACATAAGGCTAACTTTAGATGCAGCGGCCCATTCTGAGTAGATCTTTGTCTCTTAATGTCCCACTGGTGGGCACAGGAGCACTACTTTTATTCCTGCAGCCGAATTTCACGCGGTGAACGCTACCAAGCCTCTCTTGGCGCAGATAAACCCTGCAAATTTCAAGTTGAAAGAGCTGCTGTGGTGCGGTTACGAAGAAATACCTGGTGTGCTCCTGCCCCTCGGCGCAGGCTCCCGGGTGTCGTAGCGCTGGGCTGTAAGATGGGAGGGAAGCTGAGCCGCCTGGGCTTTGCCCCTGCCAGGATCTCCAGGGGTGTCCCTGATGCTGGAACCTGAGAAAATACGAGGTGCCCTCCGGTTGTTGCGTTATTGCTGAAAAAAAAAAATCCCTTACGCTTCGTCTGCGATAGCAGGTCGGAACTTTTAGTTGCATTTATTACGGCGGTGGGCCAGAGGCTTTTAATTGCACGCTTCTCGTTGAGTCAAGATCGGGTGTAAAGGCTGCCCTCGCCCGGGAAAAAAGAGCTGGATTGGGCAGGGAATGTGTTCATGCAATGATTTAATTCCGTTTTATTGGCTAAGCAGCGATTAGAACGCTTAACTTGTCCTGGTATTTAATACCGAGCGGCACGTGCTTAAGTCCCACCTGATGAGACGCTTTGGCGAGGTGCTTCCAGGTTTTGGGCTGTCCAGAGGCGCTCAGGTGCCCCGAGGAAAGGACGTTCTCCGGGCCGAGCACGAGCCCCTGCCTGTGACACGGCGGGACGGGCAGCCCCTGCCGTTTCCTCGGGCTCGGGGGTATGGGCTGGTTGACACGGGGGCAGTTAGAAAACGAGTGCTGGAACAACAGAAAATGCAGGTGAAAACGAAGAGGCGCTTCCACGGAGCGTTTAATTTTGACCGACGGTCACCCTCAGTTTCCCAAGAGAGGTTTCTAGAAGTTCAGGTACACGTGCGTTTGTGTTTTCTGCCTGCTCAGCATCACCGCGGTGACGGGTGCTGAGCCTTCTGCGTCCCTTTTCTCTCCCCCTCTTGCTAGACCATCCACGGCCACAAAGGACCCATAACTGCGGTGGCTTTTGCCCCCGACGGCCGGTACCTCGCCACGTACTCCAACTCCGACAGCCACCTCTCCTTCTGGCAGGTAAGGATGCGCGTCCGTCCGTCCGTCTGTCCGCCCGTGGTTAGCAAAACCGCTGGTAGGGACCCCCGCAACCCCACCGGTTCCGACAGAGTGAGCCTGGGGAACGTGTGTCTCCTTTTCATTTCAATTTTTTAAGCCCGGTGCAGAGCTCGCGGTGCCCGTGGGGAGCTGTCTTCTGTTCCCCCGATCGTACTGAAAGCAGGAAAGCCGAGATGAAAAACCATATAAAAAGGGCCAGGAGAAACCAAGAGCCAGGCCACCATTTTGTGAAGTACCTAAAGGTTTGTTTTCTTCAACACAAGAGCAATCTTTTTCTTTGTAATCTCACGTCAGTGGGAATAATTTTTTTGTCCGTTGTAGGCCGCTGCCTACGTTCCTCGAGCAGGATTTTGGGGGTTCTTTCAAATGGCTTTAGACTTAAAAAAAAAAAAAAAAATATTTTATTTGGAAGCAACTGATCTGAGGGAGGAACGTGCGCTATCAAAATCATTGAGTGTTACAGTAATCAGACCATAAAACAGAACTTGGTCTGCCCGTAAGTACTCGTTAACACATTCCCCAGGTTTCCGTGTCGTTCGGTAGTTCTACGGGTACCAGAAAAAATTCCTAAATTATTCTGCCTCGCTGTATTGTGTGCTTTCTGAAACAGTAAATGAGAACGGCAAGAATCTTCATCCGTCGGTTACATCTATTCTATTTAAGCGCTCAGGGAAAATCCGGAAAGCGATCAGGCCAGATCTTTTCGAATTGGCAGGGCAAAAAAAGTCAGGCCCGAGTTTTAAATTGCGATCTGCCACGCTCTGCCAGGTGTATAAGTGTTCACGTTCAAGTGGCTTTTACATAAAGAGTTAAATATACCTACACGTTTAGTTTTAAAATGTGACCTCGTGCACTAGTGATTTTTCCCTTCTGTGTTCTGTTTGGCACTATTATTAATGCAGGAAAATCAGTAACATTAGTCATCTTAAAAGGGTTATTACTCAAGATGATTTAAATTGTGAAAATGTCAGTGGTGCTTGCATGCTCCCTGCTAGAGATGCCATGATTTACACTCTCTGACACCGCTCGGCTGCCGAGAAGAGCCGGGAAGAAGTAATGGCTTGTGCTTTGCACTGATCAGAATTCAGGACGTGGCATCAGCAATAACGCACCTTAAATGTCCCAGAGTCGCCGCGGTTTCGCGGGGCACGGCGCAGGGGTGCGGCCGGCTGGTCGCCCGCTGGTGGACACCCTGGCGTTGCCGTGCGTGGGGACGGGAAGGGTTTCCAGGGTAAAGCAGCGTTTCAGAAAGGGGGTGGGAGGTTGGGTATCTCGGTGGGTTAAACCTCAGAGAGTCTCATTTTTAAAAAAGCTGGAGCCGGACGAGATGCTTCAGCAAGAATTGGCCTGCTTTCCAAAGAGCGTAACTCAACCGATCTCTTCGGAATGGCCTCTTCATCTACCGGACAATAAAGCTCTTCTTGTTGTTTTTTTTTCTGGTTTTTTTCTTTTTTTTTTTTTTTCTGTCTGTACCTATCATGACTGCTCTTCACTCTGCGTATCTTCAGCGCTAGGGTTTTTATGCTTTTGATAGGCGATATTCTCGCCTAAATATAATTTTGTTCGTATTTTGTGGGCTTTTCCTTAAATTCCGGTCGTGTATGCTGTCCGAAATACCCCCTGAGGAGCGTGCCAAGGCGTGCCTTCATCGGGTCGCGCCCGTTGACCGTCGCCCAGCTTACCCTCCCCGCCAAGGGCGTTGCTTGGCCCCTCCCTAACGATGTTTTAATTAAGCGCGGTTGGGAGCCGGGCGGAGATCCGGGGCCCCGGGCGGGGTGACCCCTGGGTGTCTTTGCAGATGAACACCTCCCTCCTGGGGAGCATCGGCATGCTCAACTCCGCGCCCCAGCTCCGCTGCATCAAAACCTACCAGGTGCCGCCGGTGCAGCCCGCCTCGCCGGGCTCCCACAACGCCCTCAGGCTGGCTCGCCTCATCTGGACCTCCAACCGCAACGTCATCCTCATGGCCCACGACGGCAAGGAGCATCGCTTTATGGTCTAGGGTAAATCCCACCCCACACCCCCACCCCACGCCCCCCCCCGCCCCGGCCGCGCTGGAAACCCGGTTGGGTTCCAAAGCCCCTCGCCGGTCGCGGCACGGCGGGGGCTGACGCCGGCTGCTTTTCCCTTGCAGCCGGGAGGAGGAAGGCACTGGGAACGCCGCGCTCCCTGCGTGGGGCTCGGTGACACCACGACACGACCCCCCCTCAGCATCCCACCCCCCAGCTTCAGCCCGCCCGAGCCCGGCCCCTTCCTCGCTGGATCTCCAGCTCACGCCCCCATCCGACACGTTTTGTGGTTTGGGTTTGGGTTTTTTTTTTTGGGGTTTTGTTTTTTCCTTCGGAGACCCTCGCAGAATCTCAGTGTTTACCAAAAAGGCTCGTGTTTACATGGACGTTCTCCCAGGGACCGCTGACCGACGGCGGGTGGCACGACTCGGATTTCTTCCCGGGGGGGCTCGCTGCGGCGGATGCCGCGGGGATTGAGTTTTGGGGAGGGGGGGGGTGGGCCCACGTGCTGATCCGAAGGGGATGTTTGCTCACACAAAATCTCAGTTTTCGAGAGAATTGGAAGCGCAGCTGCGCCCAGTCACTGCTTGCGGTAGTCTGGAAGAAAGAATAATAGTCCACATGTAAATAAATTAAAAAAAAAAAAAAAAAAAAAAAATCTCTTGAAGATGGAATAGCAAACTTGAAAAAAAGGAGTATTTATATATAAAGGTGGGTTTTGCTACCAGTGCAGGTATTTATTAAAAAAAAATAAAATAAAAAAAAAAAGACAAAAAGCTTTTTCTTCCGAAAGCTGCTCCCATTTGTGCCGGGCCGCGCAAAGGACACGGGCCCTGGAGGGGGCGGCACCGGCGCGGAGCAATTCCGGCTGGAAAAAGGGGGAAAAGTGTGTAGGAGGTAAGTTATTTGAATGGATATATTGAAACATTTTCTTCAGTAGGCATAATCCTGTGTAACGTTAGCTGTGACCGTGTTTCCCTCTTCTTACATATCTAATTTTGTGAAATATTTAACAGTGTGAAAGTATGCTGGTTTACGCTCACAGTAAAGAAAAAAAATCTATGAAATACTATTTTATTTAAACATATTGATGTATATGTTTGTATAGCTTTTTCTTTGCCATTTTTGTCTGAAAAGCTCACAGAATTAAGGCTGTCTTTACGTAATAAAGTAAAAATGGTACTTAGAGAATCTTCCCTTCCCCAAAAAGGAATAAATGGTTTTCAAACGGCTTCTAAATATGAAAAGCATTGATTTTTATTTTTTTTTTTAGGTGGTCTGTGTAGTACACTGTACATGAAAGTGAGATTTACAATCCAGAAGCTACATATCTGTTTGCTGTTTAAAAATAATTTAAAAAAAAAATCTAAAAAGCAAGAAATTAAGACCGTTAGGAATGTTTACCGCAAGCTGCTGTAAAGTTTAATCTTTTTTTTTTCCTCTGGCGGGAATGTGGCGTATAGTGGAGAACTCTGTAGTAGGACATCAGGGCCTTTTCTAAGTGAACTGACGCACCGTGCATGTACATTGTGTTTATACGGATATAGATGTAACCTTGGAGATTTAAAATAAAGAACGAAAGAAAGTAAAAGAGGAGAGCTAACAGATTTATCATCCGTAGGATAAAATGCTGTGATTTTCAGCGTAGGCTTCCGAGGAGGGTGCTCAGGTACCCTGCAGGCGTCCCGCCACCGGTAGCCCGGGGCCCGATCCGTTAGGTTATGGTAGAGATCACATACAGACATATATATATATATAATATATATATATGTGTGTGTGTGTGTGCTGGCTCTCACAACAGAATGGTGTGGCCCCAGCAGGAACGTGCCCCACGCCCCCTTTGTGGCCGAGTGAAGAGCCCTCTCCAGTCAGAGACGCGCCGAAACGTTTGGAGCTGGAAGCGAGCCGGGGATTTCCCCCCGCCGCCCCAGGCAGTCGGGGGGCAGGAGGAGCCGAGGGACCGGCCCGTCTCGCCGTGGCTGGGGGGTGACCCCGCGAAACCCAGCCCTGAGAGCCGCCCTGAAATGTGTCTTGTCATCCCGGCGCGAGCTTTTAGTGCTTTATTGATCTGTTAGTGCTGTGTTTGGACTTGTCCTTGTAAATGCGGAGACGCGCGTGGCTTCGTTGGCGGTTCACAAGCAAAAGGTCGACGCGGTGAGGCGCCCGTGTGAAAATGTTGTGATGATTGAAGTCGCCGCGCGTGGGGAATGGTCCCCGTGTCTGCCTCTCCAGCAGCTTCTCGGCAAATCCGCTCCCTGTCCTCTCTCTGTACTAAACCTCCCGGTGTAAATACGCTTGTGAAATAAAACGGAATTGTATTGCAGAGTGTTGGTTCCGTGGCGTCAGCCTGAGGGTGGGTGAATCGGCGCCTGCTGCTGATTTACTGGCCAGTAATCTGAAGTTTTCTCACCACTTCAGAAACTTCTTCCTTTTCGGTTGAAAAGTGGCGTGAATGAGAGCAGAGTGAGTCCCCGCCAGAGCCGGCGGGGGCTCATGCTGAAGGGACTTCAGCCTTTGTTACAGACCACGGAGCTAGGAGGGTGCTGCGAATAAGGTTCTCCCAAATCCCAAAACAACATATCCAAGCAAACGAGGGAATAGTAATCGTCCAAAAATTCGCCAACACCGCCGGGTGCCAGGTTTTGCCCTCCTTTACCCTCTTTGCGTTCGCCCAAAGGAAGTAATTGAAATAAACCCTGAGGTTTTTCTGAGGTGGTGTGCAGGATTACCAAGTGTATTTAATGCAACGTTGCGTTTGGGTCGGAATCTGCGATATACGTTATTTTGAAGAGCTGGCAGCCGTGTTTGCCCGCAGAGGAACCCGCAGTGCTGTGCGAGCCCAGGGCGGCCGGAGCTGGGTCAGCCATGACCTAATCAGCCTTCAAAAAAAAACAAAACAAAACAAAAAAAAAAAAAAAAAAAACGCAAAAGACTTGTGTGACTCCTCAATTTTTGGGGTGCATGAGTTGAGACACGGGCAGCTCCGGTGTTTCCGTGCAGGGGGAGCCGGTAGCGGCTCGGTGGGCGATCCCGGGGCGAGGGGGGGGTGAACCCTCACCTCACCCCTCCTCGGCTGACAGGCAGAGCTGAGCCTTGAAAAATCAATACTTGGGAGCCAGGAGGGAAATATTTCCAACCTCTAACTAGAGAATGTTTTTTGACAAGGCCGAGATAATCCAGGCTGCACAGGAGAAAGAGAAAAGAAGACTCATTTTTAAAGCTTGACACTTCAAGGTGTTTTTGTGCAATGGTTTCGAGAGAGCATCGATACGTACAAATACCAAAGGTCGGAAAGAAAAGCCAGAAGAATTTCAAAAATTAGACGCGCTGGGTTTGCTGTTTACTTCACAAAATATAAACTCTCCGATTTGTGTAGAGAGGTGGTCAGGTGTAGTGAGCTCAGTGTTCTCTGCCGTCTCCTCATTTAACAGAAATGAAAATGTATTAAAGCCTAGACTATACCTTAAGCAATTTACCTATGAAAAGTGTGTGCCTATTTCCTGCTATACATCTGCATTCAAGGACATTAATTGGTTTTGATTTGGCATGATTGCCTTTTGATGCAAAGAGATCAATATTTTTTTCATTTATGCGGCATCATTTTCTGATAATTGAATGTCTGGCCGCGTCCTTGGGCGCTCCACGAAGCGGTCAGAACCGCCGCGGCCCCTTCTGCTGCTCCCTGAGCGAGGCAGCGAGCGCCGGCCGTTTCTGCCGGGTGAGTCGGGTCTGACCGAGCCAACTCCCAGTTGCGGCTCCCGGCGAGGGGTGTGATGGAGGAGCTCATCCTCCTCGGCGCCTTGGCCGAGAGGTGTGAAACCCCACGGAGGCTAATTGCGCGTGGACCGTTCGGGCGGTGCGCGGGGATCGGTTTAACGGTGATCCCAGCGACGACACCGCAAAACCTGGGCGGGAGGAGGAGGAGGAGGAGGAGGAGGAGGAGGAGGAGGAGGAGGAGGAGGAGGAGGAGGAGGAGGAGGAGGAGGAGGAGGAGGGGAGCTGGGCTGCCCACACCACGGCTGGAAACGTGAAGGACCAACCGGGGTGTTTGTGGCAGCTTTGAGGAGCTGGCGACCAAAGGTGAGGAGGGGCAGGGGGAGCAGCAGCCACGTTACGCGGCGGAGCTGGAGGAGGTGTAGGGCCGGGGCCATCGTTAGCGAAGGGGCCAGGGAGCGTGCGGGGGCCGAGCTGACGGCAGCTCCTGGCGCGGAGGAGCAGAGGCAGGGGCAGATGAGATCAAACGGGAAGGTGCTCCCTTCCCCGGCTTGAAAGAGCATGCATTAAGGCCGAGGGAAACCAGCCAACCTGGGAGAAGGTGCTTGAGATACGGAGCGATGGTCTTGTACATTATTAATTGCAGATGCGCGATCGTCTCCGAACTCTCACACAGTATTCTGCCTGAACCGACCCACTGGAGATTGTCTGTCCACTGATTAGTGATATTTGGAGTAAGGTACTGGAAATGAGAGGTCACTGGGGATCCATAAGGAGAAAAAAAAAAAAAAAAAAAAAGACCTCTGGAAAAATTACACCAGGCACTTAAAATTTGCTGCTTTCGGTTAGATAAAGCGCGAGGGAGGGCTGCCCCGCTCGGGGATCAAAGGGGCTGTGCGCCTTCGAAGCGCGCGCGCTCGGTGGACGTCCGCCTCGAAACACGTCAATCACCCCTAAAACCCAAGCTCTTTGAAAAGGCAGACCACTGCGGTCAGTGTAAACCCCGTCGGATGTATTTATCGATCGGAATTTTTTTTTTTTTTTCCTTCCAAAGAGCATCCTGCGGCGTGGGTCTTGCCGACGGTCAGCACTCCTTGCAGCTGATTCAGAAACGCGTCCGCGCCCGGCTCGGGCCCGAGGGGAAGGCGGATGGATCGCGGCACCGCTGGTGCTCCTCGGGTTTCAGGGGTGGGCTCCCTCCCCCTGCCCCGGGACGCCCCGATCGCCAGGCAGGCATCAGCCTCGAGCGGCCCGAGCCCCTCTGTCCCCAGAGCCAGGCGGACGGCCCGCGGAGACGGGAGTCGGGCCGTTCCTGCGGCGCCCTCGTCACGCGCTGGGTGTGCCCCTTCGGATGCAGGCCAGCGCTCGGAATAAGAAACGGGTGGGAGTCAGCTCACTTGGGTCTCAAACAGTGATTTCCGTAGGCAAAAGCGTTTCTCAAATTGGCGAGTCTGCACGGAAGCCAAGAAGTGTAACGGGAAGGCCTTTAACATGCTTATTACACGTTTCCAAGTCAATGCATTTAGAGCAGAAACTGGAGAGGACCCCGAGGGCGTTTTGTCCTCTGGATGCTGCAGGAGCTTCCGTGAGCGACCAACGCGCAGAACAACCCAAAGTTGAATATATCTTCCGAACATCACCTCCCCAGCTCCAGAACCTGTGCCAGGTCTCCCTTTAGGAGAGCTCCTGCCCAGCTACAGCCCTTGTCTCGCTCCCTCTCTTTCCGTTGCCAGCAAAGCACAACCAGGGAAAATGTCCCTCCTCTTCCTCACCCCCTCCCGCGTAGAGGCAGCAGCAGTGATGGCCAGGCCTGGTCCCTTGGAACCACGGGAGCTCTGGGGAGCGCACAGCAAGCCGAGAGGAGCCGCCGCGGGTATTCCGCCCTGCATGGCAGCTCCGGGGTTTGCAAAACTGTCAGGAGCCTTTTGCGGGACGTCGACTCTGTGAGAAACTCGAGGGCACCTGGGGTTGTAAGTTGGGCCGTGCGGGTGGTCCTTCCTGCGCTCGGGGCGTGCGTGGGAGGGGAGCACACCTATCCACACCGGGATTTCCTGCCGACATTCCCTGCCTGGAGGGAACTCGGCAAGTCCCGGGGACCCAGCGCCGGGCAGGGACGGTGCTCCACGGGGGTCCCGGGGAAGGGAAAACGGGGTTATCTCCCTCTCTCCCACCAAGCTGTCCGGGCTGTGCCGCGCTGTTAGCAAACCCCGTGACTTCCCCAGCGAAAATCCTTTTGTCTGAACAAAAAAATATCAGTAAAAATCTGCGTCAGAGCCTTCAGTGTGATAAATTGACACTTGATGGCAATAGTTGCCTGGAGTGCTCTGTGAACAGGAGGGCTCCTGGGGAACTTCCCTCTCTCTCTCTGATGTCTGAAAATTAAAAATTAATCCTGTATGAAAAATTAAAAGGTGAAACTTTCTGCTGCAGCAGCAGAGCTTTTTGAATGTTGATTTTGTTTTTAAGATGAAGGCAGAATGACATCTACGGGAAGATCATTGTTGGTTGTTACATTTAGAATATATGATTTTAATTGATTTTTCCAAATTGGAAACCTGTTTGCAAAGGACTGGAGTAGCTTAAAATGGGGGAGGGTGGAGGGGGGAAGTGTAGATATTTATTTACTGAAGTAACTGGCTTTAAACAGGCATTTATTCATTCCTGTAGAGCTACTCCCAATTTACAATGCAACAAAAGAAAATTGCTATTTTTTATCGTGAAAATGATGGTGAAATCTGCACTTAGTGCGAGTTTAAATTTTATTTAAATAAATAAATAAATAAATAAACAAAACAACACGTTTCTGGCATCAAGGAGTGCCTCCGGCCCCTCGCTGCCGAGGCGCGTGCCCTCGCTTGCTGCGTTGGCCCCGTCACCGCCCGGTGCCACCCTCTCGTGACCGGTGTCGGGGGACACCCAGCGCGTCCCCGTGTCTCGGGTAGCTCAGTCCACAGGGCAAAGCTCCCGTGCTGGTTTCCCCCCCCCCCCAAGATGAGTCTTCCTCTCCGGTCAAGGTAAATGTCAGCGTCAAGTCTGAGTGAGTTTAGCAAGAGTGTTTCTTCTTCGAAATTCATCCAGAGCGAAGGGGGAGAGAAGTTGACTGCAGGACGGTTTTTAATCAATATTCACATTCCTATCTCTATTGCAAGTTGATTTTTAAAGACCCATTTCTTCACCTTCTGCTCGGCCTAGGGCTTCAGAGGTGCCACCGGCTGGCTCGGGCAGAAGGCTTCTGCCTCGGCAGGCTGGCTGAGCTCATCCCGGCTTCCCTTAGCAGCCCGACCTGCGAAGATGCAGTTGACGTGAAGATGCTCAAGTGCCGGAGCTCTGACAAGGTGTGGTGGGAGGTCAAGCGACTGCCAGGACACCCGAGGTCCCCTCCGGGAGCCCGCTCAGGATCTGACGCCGTGTTACAGCCTTTACATCTTCAATATCTCGGCGATTCCGGGCGTTATTTATTCTGTCTCTCTCTACTAGACCGTGTCCTTACGCCTTGGCTTGTGTAGACGTTGCCTGCGTTTATCAGTTGAGCTCTGGTAGCCCTGAGAGGAATAAGGCGGCTTGGTGTGGGTACGTCGGGGCCACCGGTGCCGTAAATAGATGTGGGGG